AAAATAGTTTTTTTTTTGTATGATCCTTGTAGGATATAAATCCTGTCTATGAATGCTCTAATATCAAAATCTGTTCATATATGTCACTATGTCTTTTGCAACTGTAATAAACCGTGGACTGTTTTAGTTTCTGAGATTAACATGTCTTTGCTTTACCTCTACTATCTCTCTATTATGCTCTGTTTGAGTTTTTTGTTTTCTTTCTTTCCTTTTTGTCTTGGTAAGCAAATTCATCACCCCACAAACCAGAGGGCATACAAGATGGCATGAACACCATAGACCAACAGTTTTTGCAGAGAGTATCAGCTACACTAATCCAAGACTATTGACATGCAATCTACGAGTCATTATCTACAACAGAAGAGGATTTAATTTCATTGAGAGTGATAACCAGATAGTACAGGATTGAACACAAGACCAGATAGTACAGGATTGAACACAACATGCATTTCTAGTCTTTTTGTGACACCTACAATCCTAATACAAGACTACAGATCGATTGGATTATCAACTAGACAGAAGTAGAAACATCGTTTAAGGTTATGAATGTCCATGGTAATGATCAATGCAGCAAAACACAAACAAACCCAATTGACGATACACTCACAGAAAATCTTCAATTCCTAATGATGATCTCCAATTCATCATATTTCATACACTTTCCATGAAACCCAAAAGCATTATACAAGAACAATCATAATTGAAACTTATAGTGAGCTAAAATGATGAAAAAAGAAGGAATAGTTGTCTCTACAAATGAGGGCCGAGTTTGGGGTTATTTTAGTCAGACGATGAGAAAGAAGTAGCAGGTGAAAGAAGAAGGATTTGAAGTGAGAAATGGAGAAACATTCAGAATCTGAGGATCATCTTTATTACCTGAAATCTTGAAGGAAGAAACACAACAAAGCTTCAACCAATTGAAGACCCAATGAATCCCCTACTCAGTCCCTAGTTATAGTGTCGTCGTCAACCTATTTGAAGATCCAGTTCGTCGTCGCTGTCGCCACCTTCACTATCGATGAGGAAACGCCACCATTGTCTTCGCGTCGGTGGCACGACAAAGAGGCGACGAAGCATAATCGCGGGAGAGGAGACACCGCGAAAATCCTATTTTAGAATTTGGTTCACCGTCGACCTGCTCACCCCCTTCTATATCGACTGGAGATGCCACGAAACACTATTTCTTCCTTTACCCAGCGTCGCACTCGCCGTCGATCTATTTCAGAATCCGTGTCGCCCCCTGCTCGTCACACTCTCTTGCCGTCAGCCTCTGCTCACCTCCTTCACCGACGTCGAAAAGAATTTTATTTGAATAGAAGTCGTCGAAGAGAATTGGAACGGAGAAGTCACTGAAGCTTCTAATTTAATTTTTTAATAATTATTAACTTGTCAACCGGTGAAACAGGTAGCCAATACTAGAATAAAATAAATAATTAATTGAACAAGATCCAATGGCTCACAATATTTAACAAGATTTAATGGCTATAAGTATAGTAAAGCACTCATACTATATAGCATACTAAAAAAAGCCTCTTAACCCATTCATTTAAGCATTTTAACATCTCCTTGTCCGTTGGTAGGGCTGGGCATGCGGGCGGATCATCCGCGGGTTTGGGTCGACCCATCCGCATTTGACCCGCATTTCGTTAAGTGGGTGGGTCTATGGATGGGTGACGGGTTGCGCTGGGAGCCATCCGCCGGGTGGTGGGTGGGTTGTGGGTGGGTGCGCGGGTGACCCGCTCAACCCAACAACAAAAAGATCAAAGTCGTCGGTGCTAGAGAGGGGAGAGTGGAGACGTTAGACATAAACTAGGACTGCTCCTGGAGTTTGAACCTCAAAGCCAACCTTCCAAATAGCGATCCCCTCTTCTTCTATTTTTTCCTCTAATTCTTGTGCATAGATCACTGCTCTTTCCTTTGTGGAATTATTTTTCTTAGTTCCTTGCACTTGATAATAATCTCAATATGTAGAAAACTCTTTCATAATAAAATTTCTATCCATTTTAAGAACTAATTCGACATTTTTCACCCTATTTCATCTTCTTGTTTCCCCAGATAACTCTCTTCGCCTATTATCATGTCAAGTTGACTTCTTTATATTATATACATTGTGATGTGGGTGAACCCACAAACCCACCCAAATAATCCATCATCCGCCCGACCCAACCTGAGATTAAATGTGGGTGGGTGGTGTGTTAAAAATTATCAATCCGTTTAAGCGCAAGTGGGTGCATTTTATGGTCAAAATCCACCCGACCCACCCAATGCCCACCCCTATCAATTGGGATGTAAGTAGGAAGACTTGGAGCGGATTGCCCTATATTAGTCATTTTCCTCATTGTAAATTACTAATTAACTTCTTATCCTCTCCATCCTCACCCCATGCAAGGCGAATATGGAAATACGAGCAGGAATACCTCAATCCGTTCTCGATATATTCTATTATTTTCTTTACATGCTCATGTTCGATCAATACAGTTATTCTTCTCGCTTAATGTATCTTAGGATACCCAGGCATCACTAATTCACTGTCAATCATGTCAACAAGGCAACAACAGTTTCAGTTAAAAGCTGGCGAAATTGATCATAAATCTACTTCTCTCACTATTATGTTTATGGCACCAATAAATAAGTAACTTTAATCAAATAGGTGTTAACCACCTTTTCAAAACCCTAAACAAGTCCTGAAAACAATTCCCACCCAAATCCCAACTGTAACATAATTACATAAAATTCTTCCCTTCCCCTCTCTCACAAACTTATTCACCATCATCAAACTTTCCCTCAAATCACTCCCTCCCACGAACTCTCTTCTAAACCAGGCGAGCTGTTGGCCAAGGGAAAGTGGAACCCAATTCCTCTGCGGCAGGGGACGTTACTGGAGGCTCTGGCTCTGGCTCCGGCATGTCTCCCCCGACGACGGCGTTGCAGAAAACCTCGATCAGGGGGATAACGGAACTGTTCTGGAAAATCTCGAGCTGGCAGTCCCCTGTGAGCGACAGGAAAGCCTTGCAGCAGGGGACGCCGACGCCGGTCTCGATGGACGACCCTTTGCCGCCGCCGGGCAAGAAGGAGCGGATGATGCTGAGGAGGCAGTTGGGGATTTGGTAGATTTCCTTCCAGCAACCCGCCGCGGCTTCCGGCTGCAGCCTCTCCTCCGACCGGGCTGTCGCGGCGGCGGAGATGGTTACGATCAGAAACAGAGCAAGGAAGCAAGCTGATGATGATGATGATGATTTGGGCGCCATTTTGATGTGATGGAAAGGAATTGAGAAGGTGGTGATGAGATTTGGCGAAGTGGGTTGGAGGAATTTATATGAAATGGGAATAGAGGTCTGGAGAAGGATCTAGTAACGGTGGAGAATCGATGATTTGGTTTTCTTTATACGGTCGGATCTTTTCAATTTTTTTTTGCATGAATCTGGCGGGAGTGTCGCAGAAGGAATGTTCATAATGTGGGGATTTTGTGTATTTTTAAGCCTTAAGGGATATGGTTTAGGCTGGCAGGTGTTGATTATGTGATTTTATAGCTTTTCAGGGATGGGAATTAAGTAGAGCATTTTTTGTAGGTCTAAACATACTTGATTAGGTACAAATCTCGTTTCCTCAAAACTTGGAAAGATACTAACTTTGTAGATTTGTACTCAGATTTTAGTGTTGTCTATATTGATGTGGTAGTCTTACATCACTAATCAAGTGTTGTTCTGAAAAAAGTTCTTGCCATTTTCTAGTTAGAAGAATCTATCACTTATGATTTTGCAGTATTCAAGGAAAGTATTACATGAAATCGACAAATGGCGCTTAGGACTCACATGTTCTTCTAAGGTACATAGATAGATACACACAAAAAAAAATATAATTTTATAGTGAATAAAGGCACGAAAATAGGCAAGAAATAAGGGATAGTAACACATTGAAATCACGTGGACAATCAACCTGAAGATTAGGAACCGTTTGAGCAAACCCTAACCATCTCACTCCATCGTACAAATATTCTAAGGGGCCGTTTGGATGGAACATTCTCAAAATGAGGTAATTTGGGATAAAAGTCTCAATTTAGAAAATGAGCTAATTGTGTGAGGAAATGTTTACATAATTGTCTTGTTAGGCTTGTGATTTGGCATGAGACAATTGTGATGAGGCATTTATGAAAATACATATTTGCCCTCATTCTTTTACCCTTCTCCATCTTGGGAAAGGAAGAAAGAAAAAAAAAATTAAATAAAAGGGGTCAGATTGGGAAAAGTAACCCACAAAATGGAGCAATGTAGATTACCTCCCTCCCACCAAAGTTATTGACATTGACTCACAATGAAGCAATTTCAATTGCCTCACTCTTACTTTTCAGCCAAATGGGATAATTTGGCCCAATTTTGTCTCATTTTGAGTCAATTGGGCACATTGACTCATCACTTTGATCTATCCAAACGACCCCTAAGGAAATAAGTAATTGTTCATTACCCAATTAATTTAACCTCTTGGAAATTTTCACATTTATGTTGTTCTTAAAAAAAAAAAATCTGACATTAACCCTTTTATGAATCATAATTTTCATATTTCTCAAACGCGGGGTCTAAATGTCAGATTCATTATGTTTTTTATGCTTCCCTAATTAGCTTGTTCATCGAAAGATTTTCTGACATTAATCCCTTGTAAGAATCACAACTTTCAAATTTCTCAAACACCGAATCCATATACCAAATTCGTTTCGATTTTTAACACCTCCCCTTCAAACCAATCTCAACCAAAAAAAAAACTTAGATCACTCCACCTCATTATCATTAGATTGTCACAAGACTACCAAATTATTACATAGCATTCTTAGAATGGCTTTTTGCAGCAAGTTGGATGCTTAAAACTTCAACACTCGTTAGTCGTTAAACAAATCATTCCATTGAATGTCAATAAACAATAATTAACCACAACGTATTTTTTTTTTATTTCCGCTGCACCGAACTTGGAATCACAACATATGTCTCAACATAAAATCCAACACCCACTCAAACCGGGGCAACAGCAGGACCCAGCTCAGTCGGAGGCGCCGGCGGGCTCGGCGGCACTCCGCCTGTCGGCCCACCGACGGCAGCGCCACAGGACTTCTGAATCACCGGCAGGAGGTTGCCGCTGAACTGAAACTGGCAGTCCTGAGTGAGAGAAGTGAAGGCACTGCAGCAGGGAGCCGAGATCTGCACCGACCCGCCGGCGCCGCCTTGGGCTGCTCCGATGATTTCGAACAAGCACGAAGGGAACTTGAAAATGGCAGCATAGCACTCCTCCGGCGTCTGTTCAGCCGGCTTCAGGTTCCGGCACTCGGCGATTGTGGATAGCGTGACGGCCAGGGCCAGGATGAACACCAAGGAAGTTGCTTTGGGCGCCATGGCAATACTAGTTTGTGTATTGATATTTAATGATGATGGGATTGTGTGATAATTTGTGGGTTTAGGGAGTTTATTTATAGCTCTAGGGGAGGTTTTTGGAGAAGGGTTTTGTGTGTGTGTAATTTGATGAATTTAGGGCATGAAATCTATCCATATGGTGTGTGTATTGAATGTTGGGATGAAGTTGTTTAATTTTTTGCAAAAAAGGGAATTTTGATTGTTTTGGTCTGTTGATCTACTTGTGTTTTGTTTCTATTTAAAGTTATGTAAAGAAATCTTTTGTAATTTTATGATTAGGTGAATTTTGTCGATTGTTATAGTTGATATCGTATTCTAGTACATAGTTGTTAACTCATTAAAATAACATATTTTTGGGCATTGTCGCCGTCGCTTCTATTTAGTTCTCTCTTCTTTCACCGTCTTCTTTGTATTCTCTCTTTGGGGAATGGGCTTTTTGGCGTGATTTGATGAATTAGGGCATGAAATCTATTGTATGGTGTGGGTGTATTGAATGTTGGGATGAAGTACTTCTTTCGTTGTTTGCAGAAAGTGAATTTGATTGTTTTTCGTTTGTTGATTAATTTGTGTTTTGTTTCTATTTAAAGATATATCGTGTGCATTGTTAGATGGTTTTCGTTCATTATTTGTAAGGAAATCGTATAGAATTATGGTGATTAGGTGTATTTGGTCGATTATTGTGATGTCATGTTTTAGTACGCGGTTGTATGAAATAATAATTTGTCAGTAACTCTATAGACTTCAGTTTCATACCACCATACATAATTGACTCATATACCACCATAACTCACCTGGCATGTTCTTATTCGACAAAGTTACTAAACTATACCAATATTATTCAGTTTTGTACCATCGTCATATGCAACAATTTTCACGCATGTGAAAATTGTTATCGTTACGCATAAACCAAGTTATCTTAGAAAGAAAACTGTCTTCCCGTCAACTGAACGGTTTATAGATTCATGTAACCTTATCCCGACGAGATTGCGCAGCTGACGGACCAGGCATACGGCCCGGAAATTGGTACTTTGTGGCCTACAGTCTCTTGGGCCCGATTCCAGAGTTTGACTTCGCGGTGTTTGAAAGGTTCGATTGAATGTGTGTTAGCTAGCAATGACTCGAGTGGGCCGAGCAATGGTGCACGATCTAAGTCCTAAGATCTTGGGCTTTATTGTAAGGCCTCTAGTTTCTTTTGGGCCCTTCAAGCTACTTTAAAAATTCCCGGCTGATCCTCATAGCCATAAAGTAAAGCTAGGAGACGACATGATAAAAGCCGAGGCTCTAACTCCTGGACTTAACAATCAGAATACGCATCAAAGGTCGATTAGCAAAACAAAGAGCAAAAGGGGCGGAAAATAACTCAAACCAAAGCCACAATTGGGCAGAGGGTCAAGTATACGAAGTGACTCCACAACTAGGGTGATTGACTAGTTGATAACGTCGTTTTCTTCTAGACGGCTCGATTCCACGAACAGACTAAGAAGGATAAAAGAGTTTCAAGATTGAACACTCAAATAAGGGTTTTTCATTGATCAAAAGTTGTTTTGCCTGAGTCATAACACCCTCTATTTATAGAGGTTACAAAATTAAGAAGGAAACTAATAGAAGTTAAAGAAGGAAACAAATATCCAAAAGATTCTAACATATTGTTTTTAATGCTAATGGAAGATTCTTAGCCACTAATTATTCCCTTTCCATGTTTGGCCAACTTGGGCATCAAGAATGTCCTTCTTTCTCCCCTTTCCTTTGCCTTTCCATGTGTGGCCAACTTGGGCATCAAGAATGTCCTTCTTTCTCATCTTGGACGTGGATTACATTGACATCCTTGCCCATGAACGAATTCGACTCCAAAGATGGAAAATGATCTGCCAAATAAGCTTGAAGTCGACCTTTGAATGCCTTGACTTGACTTCTAGTGATTGGACCACGTTCCTCTTGCACCAAAGTTGGACTTGTGATCTCCTTGGTGTTGATGCCCTCATCACGACAACTCAGTCAGTTACCTTCTGGTTGATACCTACCAGGCTAGCATATGTACACTTCAAGTAATTTCTTGTTGGACAGGTTCCAGGCCCAGCCTATGTTCTTTCTCTGTAATCTACGAGTGGTTTGCTTTATGGATTTGAAAAATGAGGATTTTGGTAAAACTTGAATTTTGGAAAACCATAGATATATGATGGATTTGAACAAATCAATTGTTTGCTTGATGGATTTGATTATGGACTTTGTTTGATTATATTTGTGGATATTAAATACAAATTACCTTGTTACCCTTATTTAATAATATTTCTATATTATAATCCAAATCTTTCATTTAAAACTAATCCAAAACATAGAAAGAAATTTTAAACTCTTTACCACTATGTGGACTAATAATTCAACTACAAATATGGAAATGTATTACAATTTGGCACTAATTAACAATTCATCTAATAATTTGTGCAATATTATGTATCAATTGCAACCAATTGATCGCTTTATTGCTACAACTCATCATCTTCTTGCTGACTCACCGATTTGGAATCCGACAGTCAATCAAATAATAATGCACAAGATGAGCATAAAGTGTTTCTAGGTGAATCTAACAAATCACATATACATTCATATTTATATAAAATACGATATTACAAAATGAAATGATAAATTGTCATATCACTACAAAAATGGCAGACAGTTGTGACAAAAATTTATTGACGACTCAGAAATTGTGTCGAAAAAAGGCCTAATTCCGACGAACAACAGTTTTCGTCAGTAATATATGCATTATTACTGAAAGAGTTGAATTTTCGTCAATAATTGTATTTTTTCGTCATTAATATGTATTTTGGACCGGTTTCAATTTCCCACGCTCATTGTTTTTGACAATTTCGTTTTCCGTGTTAAAAAAAAATCAATATTACTGACCAATACAAAATTGTCGTCAGAAAAAATTGATTATTATTGATGGCGTCGGAGCTCTCCCTCCGGTGACAGATGTCTGGTAAGTCTGTTGGGTTTTTTTTCTTCATACGTTACGTTCTGAGTTTGGTGGTTATGAATTATGTTATTTTCTTTTTATTTGAGTTTTCTAATTTCAGATCGAGGGAGAAGAGGGCACTGTTCAGGTGGTTGGTCAAGAAGAGGGGCCAACAAGGCTGGTGTTTTTTGTTAGGCGAGCTAGTTAGATGACGAGAGAACAAACAACAAAGGAAAAGAAGTCGAACAATCTTTGTTTCTATGATTGTGATTGGTGTTTTTTTCTAAATTGTACGTTGTTCTTCTTATTTTTTGTGTATATATTCTTGTTTGAACCTAACTGAGTGTAGGAGTGAGGTTCGTGTGAGAGTTCGGGTCAAGAAGGAACGCTAGGATCAGGTTTAATTGACGGAATAAGAACTGACGAGTCGAGTGAGGAATCAAGGTTCGAACTTTTAGAAAGAGAAGTAGTTGCTATGGAGAGAGAATGGTGCAAAAATGCGATCCCCTCACCCACCAGAGTAAATGCCATATTTATAGGCTACATGGTGGTGGGTGAGTGGGTGGACTTCGAGACGGTACAACGACGTGACTGCTGATGTGTCAGGGATTTAGGCCATCCCCTAACCTAGGACCTGTCAGAGGGTTGTCCATGATTTGTACTCAAAAGTCTTGACGTGACCTTCCCTCGGGAGACACAACGACGCCCTCTCCGGCTCTTGAGTCTGGTTGCCGCCTTGTCTTCCATTCGCGCGCATAGACTCACTCTCGCCGCGCGCAAGGTCTCGACGCTGTCGGACGTGTCGCGCCGTGTTTGTCGTGGCGTGCGGTTTGGCGTGCTTCTTTGGCGCGGGAGTGATCCGAGTCACATGCCCAACAATTGCCCCCCACAGGGGGTGTTTCTCGAACGCCTCCTGTTGTGGTTTCCGCTCTGCTGACTCGGATCCACGTGCTTCGCGATGATTTGGCCGGCTAGGTCTCGTGCGCTCTACTATGTTGAGGCTTTCCTGTTCGTTGCGGGGTAAGGCGCGGTTGTTTTGCGTGCGCGATCTACCCGGGGTATCTTGCGGGCCCTTTGTGTGCGCGGCTGCTAGGCGTGCGCGTTCTTCATGGAGGATCTTACGGTCATCTCATGTGCGCAATTTCCGGGAGGCTTTCTTCGGGCGTTTTTTTGGGGGTGGGGTTTTTCCCTTTTACGGGTGTGTCATGCCCCCCAGGCGTTGCGCGTCACTAGTGACGTCGACGGCTAGTGCCTGTGCTCGTTATGATTGTTCGGGATTGGAGTCTGCCACGTGGCACCGTGCGATTGGTTAGCTCTGGCGGCCTTTTGAATTTCGAAATCCTCTGACGGTTACGATTTTCGATGACCTTTAACCCCTTCGACTTCCCATCATCACCTATAAATATACGGCTGCTCTTGAGATTTCCTTCCATCTTTCCTTCTTCGTACTTTACTCTCTAGTTTCTCCATCTCTTGGTTTGAGGATTCCTCTTCTTCTTCCACAACCTCAAGTCTTTCGTTTGCTACTGCTACTCAAGGAATTGCCATGGATAGCACCAACATCAATGAGACCGAGGTCGTGCAGGGCGAAGAAGGTAATCCTCTTTCTTTCTCACCTACTTCTACTCGACTTGAGTCGAACCCGGCCGATTCCGGCAACGGGGACGGCGGGGACGACGGTGGTGTTAGCAACGACAACGATGCTAGTGACGACGATGGTGCTTCGGCGTCGCCGTCGGGCGACGTCGATTCCGGCCGGGGCTTTCAGGAGTCTTCCAACGCCGATGTGGTTCCGTCGGGTAGTGGGGCGGCGGGCTCTAGTGGGGTCCTGATAATCCGTCGCACTCATGACGGAAGATCTGGCGGGGCGACCTCTGAGGTGCGCGATGGGTCGGAAACGCAATCGGAGCCCCTTTACCAAGTCCGCGTGACAGAAGCAGTGAGCCGGCTAGGGTTCCAAGGCGTGGGCGCGGTTTATACTGTCATAGATTGGGCCGAGATGTGGGGCGATCAGCCGGCCCCACAT